GTAGCTGAGTAGGACTGAAACCCAGGAGAATGTTGTAAACATCTTGGTCACACTCTTACTTTGCCTCGTGGCATCTGCTATAAAATAAAAACACGGCTGTGGGCATGGTCACTGTCTCTCAGAGAAGCAGCATCCCACCGAGACCCGGATTTCATTCTCTTGTCTGTCTTTTCTAAGCCTTTCAGCCGCCCCCACTCAGGTTCACCCTGGGCCATGCTGGCACGGCACACTTTATAAAGATATGCCTCCACGCTCCGAGGATGGGTTCCTGCCTCAAACCCCGCCCTTACAGGAAACAGCTCCGGGAAACAGCTTGGGGGGGGGAGGGTGCAGCCGTTTCCAAGACAACCCCTGTAGGACTGACTTCCTTCTGCTTGGTCGCGCTTCTGGCTGGGATGTTACACCCAGGGTTTTTATATAAGTAGATATAGATTATAATATTATTGACTGTATTCCCTATGCTGTACTTTATGCTGTACCCCTGACTATTTTTCTAACTTCCAATCTGTATTTCTCAATCCCTTCATCTTTTTCACTCAGTCCCCTAAAACCCCCTTCCCTTTGGCAACCATCAATCCGTTCTTTGTATCTATGAATCTGTTTCCATTTTGTGTGCTTGTTTATTTTATTCTTTAGATTCCACTTGTAAGAGAAATCATATAGTATTTATCTTTCTCTGACTAGCTAATTCCACTTAGCATAATACCCTCTAGGTCTATCCATATTGTCACAAATAATAAAATTTCATTCTTTTTTAGGGTAATATTCCATTGTATATAGGTGCTGCCATTTTTTACCCACTTGTCTGTTTTTAAAAATATATATATATATATTTCTTTATTGATTTCAGAGAGGAAGGAATAAGGAGAGAGATAGAAACATCAATGATGAGAGAGAATCACCGATCGGCTGCCTCCTGCACGCCCCCCACTGGGGACCGAGCCTGCAACCCAGGCATGTGCCCTTGGCCAGAATCGAACCCAGGACCCTTCAGTCCTCAGGCTGATGCTCTATCCACTGAGCCAAGCCGGCCAGGGCTACCCACTTGTCTCTTGATGGTCACCTGGGTTCTTCCATAGTTTGGCTACTGTAAATAATGCTGCAATTAATGAATATAGGGTACATATATCTTTTCAAATTAGTATTTTGGGTTTCTTCAGATATATACCCAGAGGTGGAATTGCTGGGTCATAAGGCAGCTCCATTTTTAATTTCTTGAGGGCCTTTTACACTGTTCTCTATAGTGGGTGCACCAATCTGAATTCCCACCAATAGTGATTGAAGGTTCCCCTTTCTCCACATCCTTGATAACACTTATTTGTTGATTTGTTGATAACAGCCATTCAGACAAGTGTGAGATGCTATCTCATTGTGTTCTTAATTTGCATTTCTCTGATGATTAGTGAATTTGAGCAGCTTTTCATGTCTATTGGTCGTTTCTATGTTCTCTTTAAAAAAGTGTCCTCTGCCCATTTTTTAGTTGGTGTTTGGGGTTTTTTTTTATGTTGATTGTATAAGTTCTTTATAAATTTTAATATCTTTTATTAAATGTACCTTGGTGAATATGTTCTCCCACTCAGTGGATTATCTTTTCATTTTGTTGGTTTCCTTTGCTATACAAAAAAAATTTTAGTCTGATATAGTCCCATTTGTTTAATTTTTCCTTTTTTCCCTGGCCCAAGGAGATACATCAAAAAAATATATTGTTAAGAGAAATGCCAGAGATTTTGTTTCCTATTTTCTACCACAAGTATTACAGTTTGAGTCTTATAATTAAGTCTTTACAGTAAAACCTTGCTATAATGGACTAATTTGGGCAAGGGGTGTCCGTTAAAGCAGAAAGTCCATTATATAATAAAGTAGGTTTTCCGAATGCATATGTCAAAAAATTTATAAATTTGCCCTGACTGGTTTGGCTGAATGGATACTGTGGACTGAATGGTCCTGGGTTCGATTCCGGTCAAGGGCATGTACTGGTTGCAGGCACATCCCCAGTGAGGGGTGTGCAGGAGGCAGCTTATCGATCTTTCTAACTCTCTATCCCTCTCCCTTTTTCTCTGTAAAAAAATCAATAAGATATATGTTTTATTAAAAAATTTACAAATTAGTTTACCTGTTTTAAATTATGTAGACAGAGTTGTGTAATTAAAATTAACTATGTATAAATAGTTTAATTTCACAAAGTTTTTTTACATGTATTACAGTAATTTTAAATTTATACTGAATACGTCTAATAAATGCGTGCATTTACCAGTCACCAAGAGTAAAACAAATGCACATGGCTGAAATGTGGCTTAGTGCACAGCACTCGTTAAAACTGCTGCAAAAGTCACGCCATTCAACAACAGAACCAATTACTGCTCATGATGCAATGTGATCACATGCTAATCATTCACCAAACACTGTTTAGGAACAGTGACTCTTGGATTTAAATATGTAGACTCGGGGAGAAACCAAGACAGCAGCGTAAGTAAACACCGGAGATTGCTGCCTCGCACAACCACTTCAAAAATACAACAAAAAGACAGAAAAGACATCATCCAGAACCACAGGAAGGCTGGCTGATTGGAAATTCTACAACAAGAAGGAAAGAGAAAAGCATACCAAGACTCACAGGAGGTGTGGTGCGGAAGTGAAATACAAAGGTGCGGAGGTGCAAGTGGAGAGGGCTGGCGGCTGAGGTCACGACTGTCTTTTTCAATTGGGAGGGAGTCTCAGGCTCTGAGCTCCAGTTCCGGGCGAGTCTCTGGGGACACAGACTCATTCGGGAGAAACGGGACTATCTGGCATCGGTCGGAACGAGGGCAGCCATACTGCTCACTCTGCCAGCCCAGTTGATCCCCAGGGGCCCCGCCCCGCCCAAGCCATGCACGGAGGCTTTTGCATATGAAAGGCCCAGCCCTCTGTAATCTGAAAATTACTTAACAAACTGCAGCTGCCCAAGGCCCCAGGGAAACTTGCATTGCTTTACAGCTGGCTTCTGCAGAGTAGCCTCAGGCAGAGGCTAGATTAGCACCTCCTTAGATCCAAGAGCCAGTGTACCCAGTGGTCAGAGTGGGATCATCCAATTATAATTCTGCAGATCCATAAGGGACACACTCAGGGGGCAGACTCAGTGAGCACCAAAGCCCCACTGAAGCAAGTCTTGCCCCAGAAGGGTGTCTTCAGCACAGAAGTTCTCCCACTGCAGACACAGCTGATTCTCACAGCCAATTGGCCTGGAGGTCAATTCCTCCCAGTGTTACCTACAACAATCAAGGTTTAACTACAACAAGACTGTGCACAAAGCCCACAAGGGGGTGCACCGAGTGTCTACCTCAGGTAATTGGGGAGGCTGAGCCACCGGGCCCTATAGGACACTTAGCACAGAAAGCCACTCTATCAACACAGCGAAGCATAAAAAATGCGAAGACAAAGAAACAAGACACAAATGACAGAAATGGAGGAAAGCAAACTACTGGATATAGAATTCAAAACCACACTTTTAAGGTTTTTCAAGAACCTTCTAGAAACCGCCGATAAATGTAGTGAGATCCTCAAGAAATCTAGTGAGACCTTCGATGTTGTGATAAAGGACCAACTAGAAATTAAGCATACACTGACTGAAATAAAGAATATTATACAAACTCCCAACAGCAGACCAGAGGATCACAAGAATCAAGTCAACGATTTAAAATACGAAGAAGCAAAAAACACCCAACCGGAAAAGCAAAATGAAAAAAGAATCCAAAAATACAAAGATAGTGTAAGGAGCCTCTGGGACAGCTTCAAGCATACCAACATCAGAATTATAGGGGTGCCAGAAGAAGAGAGAGAGCAAGATATTGAAAACCTATTTGAAGAAATAATGACAAAAAACTTCCCCTACCTGGTGAAAGAAATAGACTTCCAAGTCCAGGAAGCGCAGAGAACTCCAAACAAAAGAAATCCAAAGAGGACCACGCCAAGACACATCATAATTAAAATGCCAAGAGCAAAAGACAAAGAGAGAATCTTAAAAGCAGCAAGAGAAAGAAACTCAGTTACCTACAAGGGAGTACCCATTGTACGACTGTCAGCTGATTTCTCAACAGAAACTTTGCAGGCCAGAAGGGAGTGGCAAGAAATATTCAAAGTGATGAATACCAAGAACCTACAACCAAGATTACTTTATCCAGCAAAGCTATCATTCAGAACTGAAGGTCAGATAAAGAGCTTCACAGATAAGGAAAAGTTAAAGGAGTTCATCACCACCAAACCAGGATTATATGAAATGCTGAAAGGTATCCTTTAAGAAGAGGAAGAAGAAGAAAAAGGTAAAGATACAAATTATGAACAACAAACATGCATCTATCAACAAGTGAATCTAAGAATCAAGTGAATAAATAATCTGGTGATCATAATAGAATCAGGGACATAGAAAGGGAATGGACTGACTATTCTTGCGGGGGAAAGGGGTGTGGGAGATGCGGGAAGAGACTGGACAAAAATCGTGCACCTATGGATGAGGACAGTGGGTGGGGAGTGAGGGCGGATGGTGGGGCGGGAACTGGGAGGAGGGGAGTTATGGGGGGAAAAAGAGGAACAAATGTAATAATCTGAACAATAAAGATTTAATTAAAAAAAAAAAGAAGAAGAAACAAGACTAAACAAATTCTAATATACTGGTTCCCTTACGAGGAAAAAAAAAACATAATAGAGGCCTCTGAGTGTCACAAATCAGAAAAAATCTTGACCCACAGGATTTATATTCCCCTTCCCTCAACTTCCCCAGTATAATTCTTGGGTGAACCCAACTGGGCTTCCAACAGCAGTTGGGGCTACTGCCAAGAATACTAAGAAATCACAGAAAACCAAGAAATGCTTCAAGTTGTCTTTTGTCAAATTTCTCTCTTCAATCAGAAAAGTCTTAGGTAAATATTAAATTTCAAGAATGAAAACAGTTCATCTACTAATACAAAAGTAAGTACCATTTCTAGGACATTTTTACTGAAAATATTTTTCAAGCTTAGTTTAATTACCTCTGCTTCTACATCCACATTTTGTTTCAAAAGTAACTTCAAAATATCAACATGTCCATTCTGACTAGCAGCTTGCATAGCAGTGTGGCCAGCACATTGTCCATTTACCTATATAATAAAAATAAAAGGATGGAATGTTACAAATAAGAAAGAGCCAATATATATACATATAATATAGGTTCAAATTTGGTACATTGTATGATTCTATTAAAATAATTTACTCTACCCAAAACTTATTATTTAGAATCAAAGAACACATAAAGATCTTCCCAGACAAGAAAAAGCTAAAGGAGTTAATCACCACCAGACTAGTACAAGAAATGTTAAAGGGTCTTCTTTAAGAAGAAGAAAAAAGATTAAAAATATGAATACAATAGTAACAAATACATATTTATCAACAACTACTTTAAATGCAAATGGATTAAATGCTCCAATCAAAAGACATATCGTGGTTTAATGGATTACAAAACAAGACCCATACATATGCTGTCTACAAGAGACTCACTTCAGATCAAAAGACCCACACAGACTAAAACAAAGGAATAGAAAGAGATATTTCATAAAAATGGAAACAAAACAACAACAAAAAGCTGGAGTAGCAATAGTTATACCAGACAAAATAGACTGTAAAACAAATGCTATACTAAGAGACAACAAAGGACTCAGCAATTCCACTTCCAGGTATACATCTGTAAAAACCCAAAATACTAAATCAAAAAAAACATGCTTCTTTATGTTCACGGCAGCATTATTTACAATAGACAAGATATGGAAGTGTCTATCAACAGATGAATGGATAATGAAATGGCGTATATCCTATATAATAAAAGCATAGTGTGCAAATTGTCCTCTTGACCGAGAGTTGTCCAGGAGTTCGACCAGGGGGCAGAACCGGCCGAGGGAAGGGAGGGAGGCCCCGGCTGGTGGGAGCAGGCAGCCAGAGGAATGGAGGGAGGCCCTGGCAGGCAGCGGCAGGTGATCGGGAGAAGGGAGAGAGGCCCTGGCGGCAGCAGGCGGCCGGGGGAAGGGAGAGAGTACCCAGCTGGCAGCCGCTAGGGACCCTACCAGTGCATGAATTTCATGCACTGGGCCTCTAGTATACAATAAAATTGTGACTCAACCATAAAAAACGGAATGAAATATTACCATCTGCAACAACATAGATGGCAACCCCAGCATGTGCCCTGACCAGGAATTGAACCATGACTTCCTGGTCAATCACTCAATCACTGAGCCACACCGGCTGCAGAAAACATTTTTTTTTTTTTAAATCACTATGTTATAAAAAAAAATCACTATGTTGTACACCTGAAACTAATATTGTATGTCAACTATAATTTTTAAAAACTTTACATTTCAGAATGGAAAGAAAACTTGGGGGGGAGGGGACTTCAATTATAGATGTTAAAGAATTCTTGACATCTAAAAATCAAGAGGAAGATGCTATTAAAAAAAAAAAAAAAAAAAAACAAACACAGAAAAGCTAAAGAGAAAAAAGTCCCATTAGTAAGAACTGGAAAAATTTTTCCGTATTATAAGACTTTAAAAGTATATTTTGCTCTGGCCAGTGTGGCTCAGTAGATTGGGCACTGTCTCATGCACTGAAAGGTTGCTGGTTCCTTTCCAGATCAGGGAACAGGCTTAATCCCCGGTAAAGGGTGTGCAGGAGACAGCTGATCCATGTTTCTCTCTCTCCCTTCCCCCTCCTCTCTCTGTAAATATCAATTTTTTTAAAAAGTATATCCTTATATTTTTATTCATGGTACAAAACAACTGTACCTCAACAAACCTTTTAATAAAGAAAGTATATCCTTGTAAGAGTGTTTTTTTATCTTTATTGTTGAAAGTATCACAAATGTACCCCCTACTGTCCCCCCATTATCCCCTTCAACCCAGTTCCCACCCTACCCCAGGCCTTTACCACTCTATTGTCTGTGTCCATGGGTTATGCATATATGCATATAAGTTCTTTGGTTAATCTCTTCTCACCCCACCTCTCCTCCCTGATTAGTCTGTTCCATGTTTCAATGTGTCAGGACCTATTTTTTTGTACGTCAATATATTTTGTTCATTAGATTCCACAGATAAGTGAGATCACGTAATATTTGTCTTTCTCTGACTGGCTTATTTCACTTAGCATAACGTTCTCCAGGTCCCTCCATACTGTCTCCAAGGGTAAATGTTCCTTTTTTACAGCTGTATAGTATTCCACTGTGTAAATGTACCACAGCTTTTTTATCCACTCATCTACTGTTGGGCACTTGGGCTGTTTCCAGATCTTAATTACTATAAATTGCGCAGCTATGAAATATGAGGTGAATATATTCTTTCTGAATGGTGTTTTGGGATTTTTAGGATAGAGTCCTAGAAGTGGGATCACTGGGTCAAACAGCAGTTCCATTTTTAATTTTTTGAGGAAACTCCATACTGTTTTCAATAGTGGTTATACCAGTCTGCATTCCCATTAACAGTGTACTAGGACATGTTTTTTCATTAAATGATGGGTTGTATTTAATTTCATTATTTACAGCATCATACTAAAACAAAAGTAAAGTTTTATTTTCTTTTAAGCTTCAATCCACAAAGATAATTAGAACTAGCAAAACAAAAACCACACACACACACACTCACACATATACAGGAAGCTGAAAAGCAGACCTAAACCTGCTATGAAAAATACCTAGGTAGCAACCCTTTTGCCAAGGAAGCCCAAAAGACTCAAAGTTGATGACCTCTGAATATGGGGATAATATGGTAGTGAATGTTAAACACAAAAGCATCAGTTGACAGTCTTTTTAAAAATCATTTAGATCCCTGGATTCCCCACCTCTGCACAGCTGTTCCACCCTCACACTAACAGAAACCTGAAAGTTTATTCTCCAGAAAGGGTAAAGCGTCCCTGGCCACTGTTAAGAATGGGGCAAAGTACTAAAAACAGAAATCTTATGTAAATATTTACAGGCCAAATCCTAAGATCCCAGGCTCTCTTCTCTTATTCAATATTCATAAGGTTGGTATCCAGGTTTATAACCAGAAGAACTACTAGAGATCTTTCTGGGGAGTCAGACCAGCCCAAGAGAAAAGACCTAAAGACCAATACCCAAGAATAATCCAAGGAAATGTCCAAATCACTCGATGGTGAAAACCAGAGTCGACAAACACACACACACACACACACACACACACACACACACACACACACGCCTTTTACTGATCACTCTCATAGATAAATGGACAACCAAGGAACACCAGACATCTGAGGAATAGCCTCTGACATGAAAAGATTGTTTGGAAGAAGTTAAAGAGGTAAAAATAGTTGACTCTGGAAGAATGAGAAAATAAGTTGAGAAGGAGATACCATTTCTCATAAATCTTGAAGTATTTTTCCCTTAAATTTTTAGAATGTATGACACTTAAAAAATAACTAAGATACCAATCAGTAATTAAATTTTTAAAATTAAGTATAAAATGTAAATCTGCTTGATTGACTATGACTATAGAAGTCTGACTCTATATTTCAAACACAAAAACATTGGTACTTTCCTATCAGTAACAAATTATTTGTGATATATCTTACAACCAATCAAAAAACCACTTTGTTGTGCTGTTGCAATTGCTCTCTCAAATAAGCCTAAAATGCTATGTGAGTTCATAGGAATAGTTTATACCTTACAATTATAGATCTGATCTTCTTCAAACTGTCTAGCATATTTACATACAAAGATGTGGCAACAAAAGCCTTCGTAAACACCGCGACTGCCACTCCACTTACAATCTTGGTCTGCACTAAATATCATATTGATGCCAGCATGGCAGCAATGGCAAAGCCAAAGGATGACTAAGTAAGAACCAAAATAACCCATTTAAAATATGGCTTATATGAATAGTAAGATTACAACATAAACTATTAAGATTTACAAAGTGCATGACCTCTAAGTCATCTGCCTTACAAACTATGAAATAGTCAAGTTTCACAGGGAAGAACGGGTAAAAAGTTTAGATTAAATATTTTAAAAAGGATAGAAAATTGCTTATAATATTTACTAAAATATATTTAAAACACATGTTATTGACATGAGAAAAAAATCACTCAATTTCCCAAAAGGACACTAATCACTTAAAAGCCTAAATATAAATTTTGTCAATCATAAAATAAACGTCACAGTGTTAAAATAAGAAAATTACAATATCTTTTAGAAATGCACACTGAAAAATGATGGCTGGTGTCTTCTTTAAAATATCTCAGAAAAACAAGGACTAAAACGCATGTGGCAAAGTCTTAATAAATATTGAAGTAATGTGGCAAAATCTAAATAACTGTTGAAGTATAAGGTTCATTATACTATTCTATTTTAGTGTATCCTTCAAAATAATTTTTTAAATGCTCACATCCACATCTGGTCTTTTTAGCAAATCTTCCACTTTAGCAACATCTCCATTGGCAGCAGCCTTAACTAATTCTTCATTGAGGTCACCAGATTCTTGGGTTTCAAATAATTTCTTCAAGAGTTGGGAAAGTCTTTCTGTAAAGCATCAAATAAAGCTGCTAATACATGAGAATCTCAAATTTTAACTACTAACAGACAAGCATTAACCATATGCCCATAACATATACTTTTTCTTTTTTATTTCTATGTTATTTTTTATTATGCTACAGATATTACCACTGCAAGTTACAATTATATATATATATATATATATATATATATATCTGCATTAAATTTGAGCCCATAAGTATTTCAAGTGTTTTCCAATTCCAATGTCTTTCAAGTTACAATTTCAGAAAAAGCAGAGAATTATAATAACAATAATTCAGATGTGGAAGTCAAACCAAAGATATTAGAAATGAATACATCACAATAGGACTACCACAATGATACAAACTTCCCTTGAGGTCACCAGCACAACGAGTCTCTGAGCTCAGTGCTACAGATCTTAAAATAAATCAACAGATCAATGATTATGACTCAAAAGAAATGTAATCTCTATAACATCAGAGGAAATATTTTAGAGGCAAACCAATTTTCAGTTGAAAATGGACATCTAAGTATTAACAACATATTTCAAAGGTGCCCACTAATTAGTTTAGACTAAAACGAGAAAGAACTAGGGATTTACAGACGCTTTCCTAACATATTTTTTCTAAACAGCATTAATCAGTAGAAAACCTACTCAGTTCTACTCCTTAATTCTTGGATCTTCTTATTGGAAAGCAACGAAATCACACAATGGGGCAGAATACCACCAAGTTTACATTGCTTGAGAGAAGGATATTAACCATCCTTCACTCTTTTAATTTGTATGTAGTCAGCCTGTTGTGATACCATCTAACCTCGAGGTAAAAATAAACACCACCTGATTTAAAATGTAAGCACACTAGCAAATTACAGCAGGAAAGAAAAGACAGAAGCAGAGGAAGTAAAAGCAGTACAAAATAAAATTAGAAGTCACTCATGTTTTCCTTCACTTTCTTAATATTTATTTTACTGTTATGGTTCTACCTTCTTTTCTGGATGACAACAATATATCTCAGTAACTTATAATTTGTTGTAGAATGAACTGAGTCTGTGTACATAAAGCTGGAGCAGAGGAATGAAAGACTGAGCTTGAGTCTACCCAAGCATCCAGCATATTCACATCTCAACATGGTTTTCTACTCATTGTAGAATGTATAGTAACTCTTATCGAACAGTAAGAGAAAAAATATGGCTGAGATGTAAAAATATCGAGAAAGAAAGCCATCTGCTAGCAATAATGTTGACAACGAAAGGAAAATAAAACAGTCTAAGAAAGTGATGGTTCTTTGGCAGAAAACAAAAGTTCTGACTAAAGAAAAAAATGTTGAATTTTAGATATCTTAGATTTGATGTGGAGAAGCACTCAATATATCTAAGATAGAGCACATATTTATGGAATTTTTCCAGTGCATACCTCAGCCAGAAGATAGGTTGTTCGTTGTATGGGGGGGGGGGGGGGGGGGGAGAAAAAAATTATAAAAGTTTAAAAGGCAGTTAACATTCAAGCAAAGTTATGTCATCTGAGAGAAAACCAAGAACACATACAACATTACTGGTATATGAGAACTGGGAAATTAGCAAAGGTTCTAATGTAAGTCATATTACTCTTAAAGAAACATGAAACAAAACATACCACCAGATGCATTGCTAATGGCTGATCCTGCAGATGCCACCTTGGAAACTGCTGCTGGATTGTATGTCCAGGATGTGCCACAAACTTCCACCTTTAAATCGCTGTCTGAATAAATCTGTTGTACTCGGCCAACTTTACCTAAAGTCTTTTAAAAAAAATTAGATTCATGTTTCCAAGTCCACAGTATATACCATAAAAATCAAACACCAGGTTTTACATGTTTAAATAATTTATTTTATTTTGTTCCTAAAGGAAAACTATTAAAGAATAACCATACTCCAATGGGTTATTCATTAACTACAAACTTTAAAGATTAACTTTTTAAAATATTTTAATAAAACTACTATATTTCCACAAAAATATAAAAAATAAATCATGAATCTATCTTATTTATAAAAGTCCACAAAATTTTGCTTTTTGATATTTAACCCTTCTTTTTTAACCCAAAAGATAAATCTTGAGAACTTAGAGCTCAAGTGGTACACAATCCATCATCAATCTAAGACTAAAAATATAAAGTCTGATTTCTAAAAATATATATATATATTTAAATTTAAAAGGGCTCAAAGTTTACATCTATGTTTAAATCCTTTTTTGAATCATGACTTAAGTGTGTAGAAATAACATGCCTATTAAATATGGGAGAAAAAAGGGCAATAAGGTACAGAAAACAATCAGCAACAGCAGTTACCATGTGGCAAATGTTGTTCTAATGTTCTAACACAGCAATTTTCAACCTTTTTCATGTCATGGCACACATAAACTAATTACTAAAATTCTGTGGCACACCCAAAACAGTATTTTACTTATTTATTTGTTTACTTATTTGGTTAATCCTCACCTGAGGATATTTTTCCCATTAATTTTTAGAGAGTGGAAGGGAAGAGGGAGAGGGGAGAGAGAGAAACAATGATGTGCAAGAGACACATCTATTAGTTGTCTCCCAAACGTGCCTCAACCAGGGCGGGGACTGAACCTGCAACCCTTTGGTCTGCAGGCCAACACTCCAATCACTGAGTCAAACTGGCCAGAGCCAAAACTGTATATTTTTTATTGATCTGCCAAAAAAAAAAAAAGGTATAATTTTTATTGATTTACAAATAAAATAATAGTAATTACCTATGCTTTTTGCTCCAAAGTGCCGTTTTTAAGAATCGGGTGTCTATACTTGTATATAAAGATTTCTGTTACCAAGCATTCACCAATAAGACGCAACTTTATGTGCCATGAACAATAAAAAACAACTCTGCTATATGACCCTGAAAGTTAAGTGCTAGCATTAGCCCCATTTCAAACTTAGTTCCAAAATCCATTCTCTTAAACATAACATAATAGCAAATAATAATACTAGAAAATTGGTAAAGTATAGTAATAATATCTGACTATTTTTAAGACAGGGCATTCACATGGATAGCTATTGCTGTGTTGGCTGTCATCATTTCTTTATTTGACAGTCTAAGGCAGTGGTTCTCAACCTTCCTAATGCCGTGACCCTTTAATACAGTTCCTCATGTTGTGGTGACCCCCAATTTCATTGTTATAAATTGAACATAATTAAAGCATGGTGATTAATCACAAAAACAATGTGTAATTATACATGTGTTTTCCGATGGTCTTAGGTGACCCCTGTGAAAGGGTTGTTCGACCCCCAAAGGGGTCGCGACCCACAGGTTGAGAACCGCTGGTTTAAGGGAAAAGAAGTCAGTGCCCTGACTAAATAGTAAGGTATTATATGTTTCAAAAATTCTTGCAGCACTCCGGTGTGCCTTTCACAGCACACCAGCTGGAAATCACTATTCTAAGAGCTTTATATGTACTGACCTACCTAATACTATAACCCTGAAAGTTAAGTGCTAGCATTAGCCCCATTTCAAACTTAGTTCCAAAATCCATTCTCTTAAACATAATAGAATCCTATATTATAAAAGGCTAATATGCAAATCTACCAAACGGCGGAACGAACAGTCGCTATGACACGAACTGACCACCAAGGGAAGATACTCAACGCAGGAGCTGCCCCCTGGTGGTCAGTGGGCTCCCACAGGGGATGCACAGCTCAGCCAGAAACCAGGCTCATGGCTGGCAAGCGCAACAGCAGTGGCGGGAATCTCTCCCGCCTCCATGGCAGCGCTAAGGATGTCCATCAGTTGGACATCCCACGAGGGCTCCAGGACTGCGAGAGGGTGCAGGCCAGACTGAGGAACACCCCAAGTGCACAAATTTCATGCACCAGGTCTCTAGCAGCAAATAACAATACTAGAAAATTGGTAAAGTATAGTAATAATATCTGACTACTTTCTAACACAGAGAAGAAATTGCCTTGACTTGTTTTCTCTTTTGACTTCTCTGCAGCATCTGACCCTAACTTTAAGAAACTATTCCACTGATTTCTAGATGACAGTCTAATCTTTCTGTCTGTTTCTCCCCTTCTTCCACTCAGAAGTTCCTTTTCCTTCTTCAGATCCCCAAATATGTTCATTCTCCAAAAATTTATTCATTCATTTTTTACTCTTCTTCCTTGAAAACTTAATCCACATTGACAACTATCATCTTACTTCAAAAGACTTGAAAATATACTTCTCTAGCCCTGTTTAACTCTCTCCTTGCCCCCCAACACACACCAATTTTAACTTCTTGTAAGACATTTTCACTTGGAATTTTCCACCATGATCTCAAACTCTGGGAGTAGCTGCATTCTTTGTTTTTTCCTCCTTAACTGTTCATTATGGAAAATCTCAAACACACAAAAGAAGACAACAATATTTCTTTTTCCTTGTAATTCTGTAGGGTATATTCCTTCTATAAGGATATAAAGACAAACTACTGTTTTTAAAAATCATTTGGAATTTCCTTTTTATATGGTTACTAGAGGCCCGGTGCCTGAAAATTCAGTGCACTGGAGGGGGGAATCCCTCAGCCCAGCCTGCCCTCTCTCATTAAGTCCAGGAGCCCTCAGGAGTGGGAGGCGACCCGGCAATCACAAGCCTCAGCCGGCCCTGGTTACCTGAGCCTCGGGCGGCCCTAGGAGCCTGGGCAGCCGCCATCCGAGGCTTGTCTGTGCCTCGGGCCAGCCCTGGGCGGCTGGGGGGTTGAGGAGACTGGGGAACTCTGGAGGCAGGTGCGCGGAGCCCAGCCTTGTCACATGCCTGCCGCCCCAGCGGAGCTGAGGGGACTGGGCGCCGCCATCTTTGAGGGTGTGGCAGTCAATTAGCATATTCCCTCATTGGCTGTGGCAGTCTATTAGCATATTCCCTTATTAGTTGTGGGTGCCGCCATCTTTTGAGGGTGTGGCAGTCAATTAGAATAGTCCCTCCTTATTGGCTGTGGGCACTGCCATCTTTGAGGGTGTGGAAGTCAATTAGCATATTCCTTTCTTATTGGCTGTGGACGCCACCATCTTTGCAACAGCATGACAGTCAATTAGCATATTCCGTCTTTATTAGATAGAACGCCAACAGAAAATACATTTAGGTTTGTTTCATTTTATTTTCCACTTCTAGGAGTTTCATTTTTGAATTTGTTTTATAGTTGTATAAAATATGTAGTTTCAAGTCAAATCTATAAAATAAGACATATTCAAAGATGTCTCTCTTCTACCTCTGTCCTGTGTCATATTCCTTTTTTATATATGAACTAGAGGCCCGGTGCACAAAAATATGTGCACTCGGGAGGGGTGGGGGCGTCCCTCAGCCCGGGCTGTGCCTTCTCGCAGTCTGGGACCCCTCGGGAGATAACGACCTGCTGGCTTAGGCCTGCCCCCGGGTGGCAGAGGGCAGGCCCAATCCCTAGGTGCAGCCCCTGGTCGGGCTCAGAGCAGGGCCGATTGGGGAGTTGGGGTGCCGCCCCCTGTCATGCACAGAGCAGGGCAGATTGGCAGGTTGCGATGCCACCCTCAGTCACGCTCAGGGTAGGGCTGATTGGGGGGTTGGGGCACCGCCCCCTGTCATATTCAAGGCAGGGTCAATGGGGAGGTTGTGGCAACACCCCCTGTCACGCACAGAGCAGGGCCCATCAGGGGGGTTGGGGCTCCGTACCGTCATGCACAGAGCAGGGCCAATCGGGGTTGGGGCGCTGCCCCCTGTCACGCACAGAGCTGGGCCCATCAGGGGGGTTGGGGCTCCGTACACTGTCACGCACAGAGCAGGGTCAATCAGGGGGTTGGGGAGCTCCCCCCTGTCATGCACAGAGCAGGGTCTATCAGGGGGTTGAGGAGCTCCCCCTTCACTCACAGAGTAGGGCCGATAGGGGAGTTGGGGCACCGCCCCGTCACACTCAGGGCAGGGCCGATCAGGGGGTTGGGGCACCGCCACTGTCACACTCAGGGCAGGGCCGATGGGGAGGTTATGGCTCTACCCCATCACACACAGAGCAGGGCCCGTGGGGGCGGGGGGGGCGTTGGGGCACCGCACCCTGTCACACACAGAGCAAGGCCAATCAGGGGGTTGAGGCGCTGCACCCTGTCACACACAGAGCCACAGGGCAATCAGGGGGTTGGGGAGCTCCCCCCTATCAGGCACAGAGCAGGGCTGATCAGGGGGTTGGGGCGACTTCCCCTGTCAGGAACAGAGCAGGGCGGATAGGGAGGTTGTGGCCCCGCCCCCTGTCACACACACAGCCACAGGGCGATCAGGGGGTTTGGGCGCTGCCCCCTGTCACGCTGATCCCGGTGCCGGGAGGCCTCTCGGCTCTGCTGATCCTGGTGCTGGGAGGCCTCGCGGCTCCACTGATCCCGGTGCTGGGAGGCATATTACCCTTTTACTATATAGGATAGAGGCCTGGTGCATGGGTGGGGCTGGCTGGTTTGCCCTGAAGGGTGTCCTGGATCAGGGTGGGGGTCCCCACTGGGGTGCCTGGCCAGTCTGGGTGAGGGGCTGAGGGCTGTTTTCAGGCCGACTGAAGCTCCCAACTGCTCCTTTTTTTTCTTTTTTTTTTTTATTCTGGGCCAGCTTTAGCTCTGGCTCCAGCTCTGAGGCCTCTGCTGCTGAAAGAAGGTATCTGGTTTGTCTGGGTTCTATAATCGAAATAATGTATAACTCCAGCTCTGAGATCCCGGGCTTGCTGAAAGCAGGTTTCTGGGGTTTTGTTTAGCTTCTATATTTGTTACAATGTTTCTTAAACTGCAAGCTCAGAGGCCGGCAAGGCAGGCGGGGAACGTTGGAGTCCTCCGTCACTGAAGTAAGCAAGCCTCATGTTAGTTTCAAGCTGCCTGGCTGCCGGCTGCCATCTTGGCTGGCAGTTAATTTGCATATCACCCTGATTAGTCAATGGGCAGGGTAGCGGTCATACGCCAATTACCATGTTTCTCTTTTATTAGATAGGATACTTTTTTAAAACTTTATGGTTAATCCTCCCATTGTTTTTCTCTTTTAAATATAAAGTTTATATTAAAACTTTATATTAAGCTATATTGTCCTGATGGTTACATTTACAATAATACCCTTACATATATATCCACATTCCCTCACTTAAAATACATATAGTTTATTGGTGCACTAGTATAGACAATATTAAAATTTGTCTTTCAGGTGTTCTTCCCTGTACCCTCTTTCTTCACTAATATTTTTATTTTAAATAATAGTATTTAGTCCCAATTAGTACTTTATCCCTACATTACACTCTCCACTAATGACTCTATCAAGAAATATTAACTGTAGCCCTTTTTGGACCTTCCCTGGCTAATTTAACTAGAATAACTTAAAAAATAAAAGGCATAATTATGCCTAGATGCCAATAAAGAACAAAATTCTCAAAGGATTATGCTAATTTAGTTTATAAAATTAAAGTATTTCTAAAAATTACATAAGCATGGTATAATTCCTAGTCCAAAACTATTTTATATATACTTACTGGGAGCATAGCTTCAGCCCATTCTCCATGTCCTCTTTGCAGAAGCTTAATTCTTTCCAGATCATAACAAACTTGTACAAGATCACCCACTTGAAACTGTGAGGTGCCTCCTTCTGCACCTTGAGCAGCATCCCCACTTCGGACAATGTTTGCTTTAGTGAGAACAGCAGGATTGAAGGTCCACCTAAGGATCAAAGCCAAAATTCAAAATGAGCTAAGTTTAATTTTAACATAACATTTTTTGTTAAGCACTGCCGGGAGAAAAGCCTTATAACACATCAAAAAAAAGTAAAGCCATCCTTTATAATTACATCCTGAATTATTTGTATTTCATTTTATAATTTTAAAATACAAATTTGGGAAAAGAATCATCATAATCTCACCACCCTAATATGATAGATATACTTCTGTGTAGATATATTACCCTTTGCATATTAAAAATTGTTATAAAAATAATACACATTCATTGTTAAAAATTAAAACTTTTCAGAACCATGTAAAGTATGGGAACCTTGAGAAGGAGCCTATCTGCCAAGAAGGACTCCTCAGGGTTAACTGGGCCCAAGTCTAGCAGCCATGTGGACACAAGCCACTCACACATTCTGCATTTGAGGGAAAAGCTACAGAGTGAGCTGCCAGTCTCCTGCACCCTGTTTCAGAATTCTGAGTCAATCCTTACAAGGGAGTTCCTGGTATCATTTTCTGACCAACGGACTGAGACCTGCCACATACAATCAGAACTGTGCAGCTATATCATTAGCTCTATCTGACCAATCAGAAATACACCATAATGACCAAATCAGAATAAACAATTTTGACCAATGAGGACCATACCATTTGGGTTAATCAGAACTCTGCAATTTCAATTTCTCATTTGTATAAAAATTCACAGACACCAGGGAGGAACTTTCTCTATGAAATATAACACTTTCAGTTTTCACCAGAGGTTGCATTTCCTAGATTTGTAAACCTGAATAAAGTTTCTTCTCTTTCCACAACTGATACTGATAATTTTTGTAGACAAATGACAGTTCCATTACACACACATTTGGATCACCATTCCCCACTCCACTAGAAGCCACTATTAATACTACATTGTGAATCAGTGCATATCTATCAATATGCTAAGTGATAATTATAATGTAGGAAAAGAACTGTTTTCTTTTCCATAAATGGAATTATAATTCTGTGGCTTCTTTTTTCTCAGAGAATGTACCTGGGAAGATTTATTTATCAATGTCACAGACATGGAACTACTTATTTCAGTTTAATGGTCACAGAGTATTCTATAACATGGATAAACACTAATTACTTAAAGTATTTCTGCCCTGCCGGCGTGGCTCAGTGGTCGAGTGTCAACCTATAAAACAGGAGGTCACCGGCTCAATTCCCGGTCAGGGCATATGCCTGCGTTGTGGGCTCGATCCCCAGTTTAGAGTGTGCAGGAGCAGCTAATCAATGACTCTCTCTCATCATTGATATTTCTATCACTCTCTGCATCTCTGAAATCAATAAAAATATTTTTTTAAAAAATAAAGTATTTCCAAATTTTCACTACAGTATTACGAACAATACTATAAAGAACATCTCTTTATAAACATCCTGTGCACATGGGGTCAGTATTTCATTAGAAATTCTTGGAAGAATTACCTAATTAAAGTATACAATTTGTTTACAATTCTAATAAATAGAGCCAATCTGCTCTACAGAGTACACCATTTCTCCATATCATTGCCAATCTCATGGCTAAAAATAGTATTTAGGTTTAACTTGTCATGGATGGGTATTGTACATGATTGTAATCACTTTAGCAAAACAAATTTGGGTTCTGACTTCTTCTTTTCTATACATATGCATTTTTCTATGCCGCTACCATTTTCATAACTACCATTCTATTGGCTACTTAACATTCTACCAAATAATTGTATCATAATATATATCTCCTAGTCCAACTCCAAAGATAAAAGTTTCCATAGTCACCCTAGCTGGTTTGGTTCAGTGGATAGAGCATCAGCCTGGGGACTGAAGAGTCCCGAGTTCAATTCTGGTCAAGGGAACATGCCAGGGTTGCAAGCTCCATCCCCAGTAGGGGGCATTCAGGAGGCAGCCAATCAGTAATTCTCTCTCATCATTGATATTTCTATCTCTCTCTCCCTCTCCATTCCTCTCTAAAATCAATAAAAATATTTTTTTAAATAAATAAAAGCTTCCCTAGTCAAATAAGCTTTTATAATAGGGTCATCCTATATAATAAAGTATATGCTAATTAGACCATACAGCCTTCTGGGATGTCCTTCCAGATGACTGTCCGGACAAAGCCGGGGCTGCGAGAGCCAGCTGAGGCTGCAAGGGGCTGCGAGGGCTGAACCCCTTGCACGAATTTCATACATCGGGCCTCTAGTTATTATATAAAAGACTAGTGGCCTGGTGCATGAAATTCATGCACTTGGGGGGTGGAGGGCCCCCAGCCTGGTCTGTGCCCTGTCACAGTGCAGGAGCCCCATGATCCATTGCCCCAAAGAGGTAGGCCCCGCCCACCCATCCGGGGCTCCTCAATGGATTGCCCCAAAGAGGTAGGCCAGAACCAGGGTTCCCACCTCCAAGCCACACAGAGCCGAGGGACCCCCAGGCCTCGCCGTGCAGAGGCCTTCGCCAGGCCCCGTGCCCGGGCCGGGCTGCACAGAGGCCTCCGGACCCCTGGCACAGGCGCACGGAGGCCTCCGCTGGGCCCCACCCCCAGGCCGCACAGAGGCAGCCACCAAGCCCCAGGCCTCCTGGTGATGGATTGTGACAGCAGGACACAAGTCCCCGACACTGCAAGTCCCTGCCCACCTGAGCCTGCTGCACACAGAGCCTGCTGATCAGTCGTTTACACGTGAGGGTGTCCAGACCATTTGCATATTACCCTTTTATTAGTATAGATGTTGAGTGGTCACAACATAAAAAAACTTATTTACTAAAGTTCTGTAACCATATACACTTTGCTTTGTAAAACAACCATAAAGAGAAAGAAGTGCCTCTGATCAGTTAAGAATAAAAATCACATACACAAAGTTTTCTTTGTGGCTTTATCAATCACAGTCCCCTTTATCTCACTCAATATTCCAAAATTTACCAGATCTATTATAGTGCCTGAACACAGCAGTATTTATTTAAGTTGTTCCCTCTGCCTACAGTGCTCCCCTTCCTTGGTGAAAATCGAGTTGATCTTCCAATCTTATGCACAATGTAATTTTCTCTCTGAAGTTTTTCTATGATTTGCCCAACTGAAATGATCACTCTTCTTTTGTACCTTCAGAATACCCTGAATACTCACTCTCATAATTACTTACAACATATTAATGCTTATTTTTGGTTTTGTCTATCCAAACTAAAAGTAAAACCCCTTCAAAGCAGAGAACCATGTCTTAATGTGTTTATAATCCTACCACTAATCACAGGGCCCAACACAGTATTTCATAAATTAGTATTTAATAAACTTTTGTTGAATAAATAAAGAAGAAAAAGAAGTTATTTTCTAAAACTCACATGTCATTATTACTGCTAACACCATTGCCCAAGAAAGAATTCTGCAAGTAATCATCCTAATTTATGTTAACCTAACATTTAGAGTTTTTATCATAAAAGGGTGTTAGATTTTGTCATGTTTTTTCTGCATCTCTTGACATGATCCTATATAATAAAAGCCTAATATGCAAATTGTCCCCTCGACCAGGAGTTTGACTGGGCGTTCAAGAGCTCGCTATGATGTGCACTGACCACGAGGGGGCGGCGCAGAACATGGCGGGCGTGTGAGACATGGTGCTGGCAGCAGGCGGCAGTGGAGGCACTGCCAGCCCCAATGGGCCACAACGAGAGTGGGACCACAGCAGGATGGTGAAGCAAGTAAGCGGGTGGCACCAGGTCAAGGCGGGTGCAAGCTGGGCCCAATCACCTTGCTGATCACCCTGCAGACGGCAACCAACGGCGGCAGAAGGGGTTGGGGCTGCCGCCCGGCTCCCAGGCACTGAGGGAGCCAGAAGGGCGCCCAATGACTCAGGCCAAAGGGGGTGAATAGGGGCCCAGGTGCTGCCCAGGGCCCAGAGGTCAGCTGGGACCTGCCCTTCCACACCAGATGCTCATGCTTCGATCGCCAGCCAGACCTAGGGACCAGACCAGTGCATGAATTTCATGCACCAGGCCTCTAATCATGTATAAAATCTGAATACAATTAGAATTCTATACTTTGGTAAGCAACTTAATGTTAATTTTTCTAATTCCCTAAAGAACCTCAGGAGGAATTGGGTGAAAAAGATAAAGGGATTAAGAAGTGCAAATTGGTAATTACAAAATAGTCACAGATATAGCATAGGAAATATAGTCAATAATATTGTAATAACTATGTATGGTTCCAGGTGAGTACTGGAAGTATTAGGGGAATACTTTGTAAAGTATATGATTGTCTAACCACTATGCTGTACACTTGAAACTAATTCAAAAGATATTGAATGTAAACTGTAATTGAAAAATAAAAAAATTTAAAAAGCAGAAAAATATAACCTCAGAGTTTCTTTATGTACATGTCAGCAATAAAGTTGGACAATTATTCAATTTAACTACTGCTTTTTCTTTAAAATGTCATAAACATACAAGTAAATTAGACATATTTTGCCTAAAGAGCAAATACATAAAAGGTACAGGCCCAATCTCCAAGAAACTCGCAACCTAGAGGTCAAATAAATAATCATTTTAATAGATAACAGGAGACCTAAACAGATGAATAATGTATGCATACACCAAGGAGAGCAGAAGAAGAGAGGAGATTCCCAAGTATCTAACTAAGCTCAATATCTATAGGATGCAAACCAGTTAATCCAGAGAAAGAGGGGATAAAAGAGGGAAGGGTATTCTGCATGAAGGGAATGGTATGTGCAAAGGAAAAGAAGTGAGAAAATGCATGTAACTCTATGTTGCTGATAAGGATTAGTATGTGTGTATGTGTCTATGGCAGAGAAAGCTGTGTTATCAAGATATAACCCTGGAGATAAGGGCCAGAAGAGTATTAATTTTATCCTTCTCATTCAGGATAAATGCACTCATTGTGAACACAAACTTTCTGCTATACTTGGACCTAACAATGACACAATATATTCTGCTCCCTGAAGGAGAGACACACACACACACACACACACACACACACACACACACACACACATACTTCTTGACATTTATTCCCTTCCACCTTACCAACATATTCTGGATTTTTACCTACTGAGAGCTACCTTTAAAGACTCTTTGGTTATAGCAGATTATTTGCTTTCTTTAAGACTCTTTTCTCTAGCTTTATTTCCCATTACTGAAAAATTAAGAAATAGCACCAACCTATTGCCACTCGGATACTGTACTACAATGTCATGATCTTCATCGATGCCACAAACAGTTCCAGTTGTAGTTAAAGTCTCAAACATGCCATCAGTCCATCCTCCATGACCATGCTGCAAAGACTGTACAATTTCTAGGTCAAGGTCTATATTTACCAGGTCACCAATCTGCAACCCACCAGGATTTCTATTGCCATTCTGCTCACCTGTAATTGCAGAGGGGGTTGACAAAGGAAAAAGAAAGTTATAGCAACAACATGCAACTGCATTATTTTTAAACAAGAACAAGCTGTAGGACTTCAAAGATTCATAATCATGAAACACTACAATGAGAAATCCAAATCTGCATGTTGGTTCTATCCTTTTCGTGTGAAGGCAAGACATAAGAGTTACTTTTTTTGGTGCCAAAACCTGGGATCGCAAGGAAGTTTTTGGTAGCAAGAGAAATGGATGCTCTCAGCAAAAACATATGTATTTCTTCTATATTTTCCTTTAAAAATAATAAGGTGTCATGCAAGTAAAGAGCACTTTTTATCAAAAAGGAAAATCCAATGATTTAGAAAGAGGAACACAGAGTCTACATGAGAAAGAAAAGCATTCAGAGACTAAAGGCTTAATCAGATAAATGTGGTAAATGTTCATCATGACAACAATAAAGAATCAATAAAATGAAGGTAGTTTTGGTTTTCTTATTCTTTTTTATTTTAATGATAAGTGAAATTATATTTATTATATTACTTTAATCTTGGGAGTTGTTCTTGCATTAGAAAGATTCCATAAGCTAAGGATTCCATAAGCTTTAAATTGTCAGATTCTGTTCGTAATAATGAAGAGAAGTAATATCTAATACAAAGTTTTTCAATAAGTTTACAGTTAAAAGAAAAAGTTTCAAATATATTATGACATAAATGGCATGTCAATTCTCAAGATATGACAACTCAGTGTCTACATAAATCATTTAAAAAGAACAAATTCTTGCCCTGGCTGATTTGGCTCAGTGGATAGAGAGTCGGCCTGCGGACTGAACGGTCCCAGGTTCGATTCCAGTCAGGGGCACATGCCCAAGTTGTGGGCTCAATCCCCAGTAGGGGGTGTGTAGGAGGCAGCCAATCAATGATTCTCTCTCATCATTAATGTTTCTATCTCTCTCTCCCTCTCCCTTCTTCTCTGAAATAAAAATATATATATATATTTTTAAAAAGGACAAATTATTTAAAACCAAAATAAGACCAAAAAAATATCTCTTCAAATAGCTTTAATGGTAACTAATTTGTTAAAAGTCCACTTAAATATTTTAATGAATTCTGACCCATTATTTAGTTATTTCCTCCATTCTGCTAACTCACCTAGCACAGGGCAGTGATCTCTGTAGAAAGAACCTCCTTTGGCATCCTGGACACACTTCAGATCAGACTAAGAAAGAAAACAAAAAAATCACTCTTGAAAATGTCAAGTATAGCTCAATACCTAAAACAGAAAAAATGTTCATTCAAAACATACTCTCAGCATAAAAAGGTGAAGGGATTGAGAAGTACAGATTGGCAGTTCCAAAACAGCCACGGGGACTGCAAAGTATAGCATCAGAAATATGGTCAATAATATTGTAATAAAAAAAAAAAGCAGAGGGGCAGTTATTTTATATTTTAGAAACATGAAATAGAGTGCTTGAATATATGTATTGATTACACAACTATTACATTACTATTATACTTTATTATTAAAATAAGCCTTAGGGTAAACCTCAAAAACAAAAAAATTAATTTTAACATCTATTGTAATATATATTTTTACTAGAGGCCCAATGCACGAATTCATGCACCAATGGGATCCCTTGGCGTGGACTGCGGGATCAGGCCGAAACCAGCACTCCAACATCCCCCAAGGGGTCCTGAATGCAAGAGGGCACAGGCCATGCCAAGGAACCCCACTGGTGCACGATCAGAGCCAGGGAGGGATGCAGGAGGTTGGCCAGCCAGGGAGGGACCGCAGGAGGGCTCTAGGGTGTGTCCAGCCCATCTCATTCAGTTCCGATTGTCCAGACCCCAGCAGCAAGCTAACCTACCAGTCAGAGAGCCTGCCCGCTGCACGTCATAATGACTAGTCAACCGGTCAACTATCTGCTCCCTGGTGGTCAGTGCACATCAGAGCAAGCAGTTGAGCGGCCTTAGCATATCATTAGTATATTACACTTTGATTGGTTAAACAAACAACCGGATGACCAGACACACTTAGCATATTAGGCTTTTATTATATAGGATCAGCCACCAAAGCCTAGAATGCAAGTATACCATAAAATCTCATTATAATACTATTTTCCATGCCCCTGCCAAGGAGCAGCCTTACAGATGATCCTAAGTCTTAGATTCTTACACTGACTATTAAATAGTTCAAGCAAATATAGTAAAAATGAAAGTTTATTAAATTTTCAAGTTTATAGATTTCCCCTCCTATTATATATTAATGATGATTCAAATGTCTGTATTCTGACAAAAAGAGATGACAAAAGAAAAAATTCAGGAAGATGGCTGCAGATGGGAAGACAGACTGCAGGATGGTATGTGAGTGAGAGAATGAAAGGAGAGTGTGTGGATGTACAGGGAGTGTATATTTGTGGGTGAGGGACAGCTATACTCCAAGGGACTGTTGGGGACTGCCAGACGGGGCTCCCCTGATCAGGGCAGTTTCCACTGCTGCTGAAATCTCTCCCGGAGCAACTGGCTCTGCCGCGGAGTCCGGGCCATCTTGAAGGGGAGAGTGGCTGTTATCGGAGGCCTATATATCCCAGGACTCTGCAACCACAACACCCAGGGACCAGCTGCGAACCCAGGAACACCAGATCTTAAGCAGCAGGAATACACAGACTCAGAGGAGCTCTGCACCTTCTCACGGAAAGGTCAGATTTCACCAGGGGAAAGGAGAGAGAGAGCTACATAACCAGACACCCGGAAGAGAGATAATGAGGAGACAAAGAAACAGCCTGCATATGAAAGAAAAGGAGGCATCACAAGAAAAGGAAGTAAACGAAGTGGAGGCAAGCAATATGTCAGAGAAAGAATTCAGAGAAATGGTCATAAGGTCACTGAAAAGAATGGAAGACAAATTCAACAATATGTGTAAGAACCAAGAGGAAGTGAAGAAGAACCAAGAAGAAATGAAAAATGACATCACTGCTATAAAGAACTCAATAGAAAGCATCAACAGTAGACTATAAGAAGCAGAGCACTACATCAGTGAGCTAGAAGACAAGGTAGAAAAAAATACCCAAGCAGAGCATCATCTAGAAAAAAAAAACTTAAAAAACAGGAGGAGAGCCTAAGGGAACTTTGGAACAACACGAAACGAAACAACATCCACATAATAGGAGTACCAAAGGAGAGGAAACTGAGCAAGGAATAGAAAACCTGTTTGAAGAAATGACAGAAAACTTCCCTAATATAGGGAAGAAAAAACTCACACAAATCCAAGAAGCTCACAGAGTTGCAAACAAAATGAACCCCAAAAGACCAATGCCAAGGCACATTATAATTAAACTGGCAAACACCAACAACAAAGTAAGAATATTAAAAGCGGCCAGAGAGAGACAGAAAGTTATCTACAAAGGATCCCCCATCAGACTAGCGACTGATTTCTCAACAGAAACAAATCAGGCCAGAAGGAAATGGAATGAAATATACAAAGTAATGCAAAGAAAGGGTCTGAATCCAAGACTACTGTACCCAGCAAGGCTATCAATCAAAATTGAGGGTGAAATCATGAGCCTCACAGACAACAAAGGACTAAGGGGGTTATTACCACCAAACCAGCAATGCAAGAAATGCTAAAGGGTCTGCTGTAAAAAGAAGAAATAGGAAGCAAAGAAGGAACACAGGCGTAAAGAATAAAAATGGCGACAAACAAGTACCTACCAATAATAACTTTTTTTTATAAATGTCTTTTGTGTCTCTTTTATCTTTTTTTAAAATATATTTTATTGATTTTTTACAGAGAGGAAGGGAGAGGGATAGAGAGTCAGAAACATCGATGAGAGAGAAACACTGATCAGCTGCCTCCTGCACACTCCCCACTGGGGATGTGCCCACAACCAAGGTACATGCCCTTGACTGGAATCGAACCTGGGACACTTGAGTCCACAGGCCAATGCTCTCTCCACTGAGCCAAACCGGTTAGGGCCAATGATAACTTTAAATGTAAATGGATTAAATGCCCCAATCAAAAGACATAGGGTAGCTGAGTGGATAAGAAAACATGACCCATATATCTGCTGTCTACAGGAAACCCACCTCAGAAAAAAGGACTCACACAGACTGATGGTGAAGGGATAGAAAAAAAATATTCAGGCGAATGGAAATGAAAAAAAAAAGCTGGGGTAGCAATACTTATATCTGACAAATTAGATCTCAAAGTGAAGGACATAACAACAGATAAGGAAGGCCACTTCATAATACTAAAGGGAGCAATCCAAGAAGAAGAAATAACTCTGGTAAACATATACGCACCCAATATAGGAACACCCAAGTACATAAAAAAACTTCTGGAGGATATCAAGGGAGAGACTGACAGCAATACAGACATAGTAGGGGACTTTAATACCCCACTATCACCATTGGACAAATCCTCTAAATAAAAAAATCAGCAAAGAAACATCAATCCTAAATGACTCACTAGATCAGATAGAATTAATTGACATCTCCAGAACATTTCACCCCAAAGCCACAGAATATACATTTTTCTCAAGTGCACATGGGTCATTTTCAAAGATAAACCATATATTGGATCACAGGCAAAGTCTCTTCAAATTCAAGACGATAGAAATCATATCAAGCATCTCCTTAGATCACAATGGCATAAAACTAGAAATCAACTACAATAAAAACAATAAAAAAAAAATCAAACACCTGGAGGCTAAATAGCAATGACTGGATAACCAGAGAGATCAAAGAAATAAAAAGCATCATGGCAACAAATGACAATGAAAACACAACAATCCAAAATCTATGGGACATAGTGAAAGTAGTCTTGAGAGGGAAATTCATAGCTCTACAAGCCTACTGCAAAAAACAAGAAACAATGGTAATAAATTACCTAACTCTACAACTCAAAGAGTTAGAAAGAGAGCAACAAGAAAAGCCCAGCATAAGCAGAAGGAAATAATAAAGATCAGAGAGGAGATAAATGAAAAAGAGACCAAAAAAAAAATACAAAAGATCAACAAAACAAAGAGCTGGTTCTTTGAAAGGATAAACAAGATTGATGAACCTCTAGCCAGGCTCACCAAGAAGCAAACAGAGAGGACCCAAATAAACAAAATCAATAATGAAAGAGGTGAAATAACAACCAATCCCACAGAAATACAAATGATTATGAAAAAATACTATGAACAACTCTATTCCAACAAAAAGGACAACCTAGATGAAATGGACATATTTTTAGAAAAATACAAACTTCCAAAACTCAACCAAGAAGAATCAAAAAACCTGAATAGGCCAATAACTACCGAAGAAATTGAAACAGCGATCAAAAATCTTCCACCAAACAAAAGCCCTGGTCTGGACGGCTTTGCAGCAGAGTTCTACCAAGCATTCAAAGAACTAAAACCTATCCTCTTCAGACTATTCCAAAAAATTCAAGAGGAAGGCACACTTCCAAGCTCTTTCTATGAAGCCAGCATTACCCTAATCCCAAAACCAGATAAAGACACCACAAAAAAAAGAGAACTACAGGCCAATATCCTTGATGAACATAGATGCTAAAATCCTCAACAAAATCCTAGCAAATCGGATTCAGCAGTACATTAGAAAGATCATACACCATGACCAAGTGAGATTTATTCCAGGGATGCAAGGATGGTACAATATCCGCAAATCAATAAATGTGATACATCACATAAACAAACTGAGAGACAAAAATCACATAATCATATCAATTGATGTAGAAAAAGCATTTGACAAAATCCAATACCCTTTCTGGATAAAAACTCTCAGCAAAGTGGGAATAGAGGGATCATACCTCAACATAATAAAAGCCTTATATGATAAACCTACAGCCAACATCATACTCACTGGGCAAAAACTAAACCCATTTCCCCTAAGAACAGGAACAAGACAAGGATGCCCACTTTCACCACTCCTGTTCGACATAGTAATAGAAGTACTAGCCATAGCGATCAGACAAGAAGAAGAAACAAAAGGCTCCAAATTGGCCCTAACCGGTTTGGCTCAGTGGATGGAGCGTCGGCCTGCGGAATGAAGGGTCCCAGGTTCGATTCCAGTCAAGGCCATGTACCTTGGTTGCGGGCACATCCCCAGTGGGAGGTGTGCAGGAGGCAGCTAATTGATGTTTCTCTCCCATCGATGTTTCTAACTCTCTATCCCTCTCCCTTCCTCTCTGTAAAAAATCAATAAAATATATTAAAAAAAAAAAAAAAGGCATCCAAACTAGAAAAGAAGACATAAAACTGTCCTTATTTGCAGATGACATGATGCTATACACAGAAAACCCCAAAGACTCCATCAAAAAACTACTAGACCTAATAAATGAATTTGGCAATGTAGCAGGATACAAAATTAACACCCAGAAATCTATGGCCTTTTTATACACCAATAATGACCCCACAGAAAGAGAAATGAAAAAAACAATCCCATTTACCATTGCACCAAAAAATTAAGATACCTATGAATAAACTTAAATAAGGATGTAAAAGACCTGTATTCGGAAAACTATAGGACATTAAAAAAAGAGATAGAAGAAGACATAAACAAATGGAAGAACATTCCATGTTCATGGATTGGTAGAATCAACATCATTAAAATGTCCATAATACCTAAAGCAATCTATAGATTCAATGCAATACCTATTAAAATACCAATGGCATATTTCAAAGATCTAGAACAAACTCTCCAAAAATTCATCTGGAATAAAAAAAGACCCCAAATAGCCACAGCTGTCCTGAGAAAGAAGAACAAAGTTGGAGGGATCACAATACCAGACACCAAACTATAATACCAAGCCACAGTTCTCAAAACTGCCTGGTAATGGCACAAGAACAGACATATAGACCAATGGAACAGAATAGACGATCCAGAAATTGACTCAAGCCATTATACTCAATTAATATTTGACAAAGGAGGAAAGAGCATACAATGGGGCCAAAACAGCCTCTTTAATAAATGGTGCTGGGAAATTTGGTCAGATACATGCAAAAAAAAATGAAACTAGATCACAACTTATACCATACACAAAAACAAACTCAAAATGGCTAAAGGACTTGAATGTAAGACGGGAAACCATAAAAATCCTACAAGACTCCAAGGCTGCAAAATGTCTTAGCAATATCTTTACAGACACAGATCCTAGGGCAAGAGAGACTAAGGGGAAAATAAACAAATGGGACTACATCAAAATAAAAGGCTTCTGCACAGCAAAAGAAACCATCAACAAAACAAGAAAGCCCACTGCATGGGAGAACATATTTGCCAATATTATCTCCGATAAGGGTTTAATCTCCAACATTTACAGGGAACTCATACAACTTAACAAAAGGAAGATAAACAATCCAATCACAAAATGGGCAAATAATCTAAACAGACACTTCAAAAGAGGACATTCAAAAAGCCAAGAGACACATGAAAACATGCTCAAAGTTACTAATCATCTGAGAGATGCAAATCAAAACAACAAGGTACCACCTCACACCTATCAGAATGGCTATCATCAACAAATGATAAGTGCTATAGAGGATGCAGAGAAAAAGGAATCCTCCTTCACTGCTGGTGGGAATGCAGACTGGTGCAGCCATTGTGGAAAACAGCATGGTGTTTTCTCAAAAATTTAAAAATGGAACTGCCATTTGACCCAGATAATACCACTTCTAGGAATATATCCAAGAAAACAGAAACACCAACCAGAAAGGATATATGTACCCCTATGTTCACAGCAGCACAATTTACTATAGCTAAGATTTGGAAACAGCCTAAATGCCTATCAGCAGATGAGTGGATAAGAATACTATGGTACATCTACACAATGGAATACTACACTGCTATAAAAAATGAATTCTTACGATTTGCAGCAGCATGGATGGAACTGGAGAGCATTATGTTAATGAAATAAGCCAGGCAGTGAAAGAAAAATACCACATGAACTCACTCATTTATGGATAATAAAGAACATTATAACCTGATGAACAAAAAGACAGATACAGAGGCAGAGAAGCATCGAACAGACTGTCAAAGTACAGCGGGAAGACTGGGGAGTGTTGGGGGGGGGGGGGGTAAGAGATCAACCAAAGGACTTGTATGCATGCATATAAGCATAACCAATGGACACAAGACACTGTGGGGGTGGGGTGAGGGCATGTGCCGGAGGGTGAGGAGGCCAGGGGAAGGTCAATGGGGAGAAAAAAAAGAGACATATGTACTACTATTTGTAATACTTTAAACAATAAAATTAAATTAAAATTTAAAAAAATAAAGAAAAAAGGATGCAAAATAAAAAATCTTTAAAAAAAGAAAAAATTCAAAAATACAATTATTTCCCTTCTTTCATCCATCCAATATTTTCTTTTGTGGTTCTTACGACTTACCATGCCCTCAAAACCAACTCTGTAAAGGTTCTTAGCACCATTATCCCAGAGAACATATGCTGCGCTATGTGGGCTTGATGCACTCCAGTCTTGGATTTCTGTTACCTATAAGAGAATTTTTTGAGAAAATTATTTTTTAAAGGGAGATAGAAGAGGTTGGTTCTTTTAATTATATTTAAATCTCAAAAATTATGTTATTATTCTGTATAACAAGATATGAATAATACTTAATTGCCAAATATATGTCACTTCTAACACATAATTGAATTATAATGAGGTATTTTTCCAGAATTATAAGGTAATTTCTAAAACCACTACAGAAATTTTAAATTGAAAGGCTTATTGATTATAATAGATTTTCAGAAAATACAAAATTTTAAATCTTTACTCTTAAAGGTTCATTTTAAGAAGAGTGTTTTCTTTTAAACTCACTATTTAATACAAAAATTCAAAATCTTTGACCAAATATACAGAATGATTCAAGATTAATCTGCTCTCTGGTCAGCTAAAATATGATAAGCATGAGGCTCAATGGCAATGTTCAAGGAGACTTGAGTGATTTTGTTTCCTAGAAGTTCCTTCAGTTGCCTCAAAAAGCAGGCCATCTAAGCTAAAACATCATGTGTATCTACCATGGAAATCCAGACACAATCTCAAGGCCCAACATGGCACCAGAGTCTAATTCATAAACTTATTACTTTCAAAACTTACTGGTTTACTACAGCTTAAGGGCCAAGAATCAACTACACAAAAATGATACACAATGAGCACTAAATGTGGGTATTCTCAAAGTAAACCAGTCTACAGCTAAGAATGGGAAATAGTACATGTTCACTTATTACTGTTCTCCATGTTGACGCTTACAATCAGCCATCCTTCATAGTTACTTAGAATGCTAGCATGTTTAAGGAATTACCTGAAAAACAGATTATTTCAAATATGACATATAATGACCCTTTCATTTTTACACTGTACCAAATAAATCATTTTGTAAGCTATGTATTTTATGGTGCTGTTGTAGAGAAAAAAATTTTAAAGTCTGTGTCATCTGAAGAAATCACAGGAACTGAAAAGCCTCTTTTGTATACAGTGGTGCCAAATGGATTTTTTCAAGTTAAATTCTGTCACTATGGTGTAAGAAAAAAACATTGATGGGTTGCCTCTCGCATGTGCCCTGACTGGGGATCAAACCCAAAACCTAGGTATGTGCCCTGATCAGGAATCGAACCCACAACACTTTGGTGTACAGGATGACGCTCCAATCAACTGAGCCATCCGGTCAGGGCAAGTGTAGTTTTTATTGTCTGACTTTTTTTTACTTTATTCCTTCCACAACCACACAGAGACTGGCAGAAGGGAAAAAAAGACTGTTAGGAGGGGTGGAGATGTGGAAGGGGGTGGTCCCACACCCATGTGTGTCAGATAAAAATCAGAAGGAATATCTGGGCTGCAGCCCCACACCAGGCCACACAGCCCAGGGTTCCAAACCATGAAGAGAAGTCTTCATAATCTCTGGCTGTAAATCCAACAGGGATTGTGGCTGAGTGAGACAGACAACGGCTTAAGTCCCAAGTGTTCCTCTTGAAGGGGCCCACAGGAGAACAGATTTACTTGCTCTGAGCTACAGTGCTGGGACAGCAGCTCAAATGGCGCAGGAACCTATGAGGAGGAACTAATTGCCTGGCATTTGGACAAGAGCTGAAGGAACAACTTTTTTCCAGATAGAAGTGCTGGCAGAGGTCATTGTTCCTTTTCTGAGCCCTCCTCCCAAAGAGCTGGCAGATAATGCCATATCTGAGTCTTCATCAACAAGGCTAACACTGTTAAACCCACCCTGGTTATTCCCTGAGACCTTGCCCCACCCAACTGCAGCCCATCTATGCATATCCAGTGGCTTTTCCATACAAATGGCCTCTCTTGGCTCATGCTTCGGACTTTTCTAAAATCTCTCAAATAAGTGCATCTGGCCTTGATATGTGTCATAACTCTCACTTAGTGGCCCAGTCCTTGGTTCACAGGCTGGCCTCTCTTAGGCACCTCCAAGCCCAGCACAAATAGCAGCCATCTTCAGATTGCTTTGTAGCTCATGCCAGGTGGCCCCAAACTTGGCCAGCTCCTCCCTGGAGGCCCCAGAGTCAGCACACTTGGTGGACAGCTTCAGAACACATCAAAGCACCACCCAACTGCCTTCATGAGCAACACACTCAAGGAGCAGGCTCAGAAGGCATCAGAGCCCAGCTGAAGTAAGTCCTGTTCCATGGTGTCAGAGCCTGCACAGCTGATCCTCCATGGTGGTGGTAGCCAGTCCTCACAGCTAACTGATCTGGAGGTAAATTCCTCCCACTGAGGTGTCAATAGCAATCAAAGCTCAACTACAACAAAAAGATGTACACTGCCCACTCTGGGGAGCTGGGAAGCTCTCCTGGAGTGACCGGCTCAGGTGATCGGGGAAGCTGTGCCACTGGACCCTGTAGGACACTATTAATTAATGCCACAATGCAAAGTCCAGGAAACGTAGCAGCTCTACCTAATACATAGAAACAAACAGAGGAAGGCTGCCAAAATGGGGGGGGGGGGGGGGGGGGGCAAAAAAATATATATCCAAATGAAAGAACAGAAAAAAATCCCAGAAAAATAAATAAATAAAATGAAAACAAGCAATCTACCAGATGCAAAGTTCAAAACACTGGTTATAAAGATGTTCAATAAACTTAGGGAAAGAGAAGATGAACTTACTGAGAACTTCAACAAAGATAAGAAGCATAAAAACGGAACTAGAAAACAAAAAGAAACAGTAAGAAATGAAGACCTAACTGTAATGAAGAATACATTACAGGGAATCAACAGTGATAATGACAGAAAACTTCCCTAATCTGGTGAAGGAAATAGACATACAAGTCCAAGAAGCACAGAGTGTTCCAAACAAGATGAACTCAAAGAGGGCCACACCAAGGCACATCATAATTAAAATGCCAAAAATCAAAGAAAAAGACAGAATCTGAAAAACTGCAAGAGAAAAGCAGTTAGTTACCTACAAGGGAGCTCCCATCAGATTGTCAGCTGATTTCTCAACAGAAACTTTGCAGGCCAGAAGATAGTAGCAAGAAATATTCAAAGTAATAAAAAGCAAGGACCTATAACCAAGATTACTCTACCCAGCAAAGCTATCATTTAGAATAAAAGGACATATAAAGAGCTCCCCAAACAAAAAAAAGCTGAAGGAGTGATGACACCACCATACCAGTAATACACTAATTGTTAAAGGATCTTTAAGAAGAAAAAGGTCTAAAACATGGATAATAAATTGACAATAAATACATATCTATCACCAATTATTTTAAATGCAACTGTATTAAATGCTCCAATCAAAAGACATGTAATGGCTAAATGGATAACAAAACAAGACCCTTACATATATTGTCTACATGAGATTCCCTTCAGATTGAAAGATACACACAGACTGAAAATAAAGGTACAGAAAAAGGTATTTTATGAAAATGAAAACAAAAAAAGGCTAAAATAGCAATATTATACCAACAAAATAGACTTTAAAACAAAAGCTATATAACACAAGACAAAGAAGGAACCAGCAATTCCAATTCTGGGAATTTTTTTTTTTAAAAAAACTAAATCAAAAAGACATATGCACCTATATCATTGCAGCATTATCTATAACTAGAGGCCCGGTGCACAAAAATTTGTGCACTCAGGGGGGAGGGGGAGGTCCCTCAGCCCGGCCTGTGCCCTCTCGCAGTCTGGGACCCCTCGGGAGATAACGACCTGCTGGCTTAGGCCTGCTCCCGGGTGGCAGAGGGCAGGCCCAATCCCTAGGTGCAGCCCCTGGTCGGGCTCAGAGCAGGGCCGATTGGGGAGTTGGGGCGCCGCCCCATCATGCACAGAGCAGGGCAGATTGGGAGGCTGTGATGCCACCCTCAGTCACGCTCAGGGTAGGGCCAATTGGGGGGTTGGGGCACCGTCCCGTCACACTCAAGGCAGGGTCGATGGGGAGGTTGCGGCGCCACCCCGTCACGCACAGAGCAGGGCCAATCAGGGGGTTGGGGCGCTGCCCCCGTCACACACAGAGCAGGGCCCATCAGGGGGTTGGGGCACTGCCCTCTATCACCCACAGAGCAGGGCTGATCAGGGGGTTGGGGCACCGCCACTCTCACACTCAGGGCAGGGCCGATGGGGAGGTTATGGCTCTACCCCATCACACACAGAGCAGGGCCCGTGGGGGGGGGGGGGGTGGTTGGGGAGTTCCCCCCTATCAGGCACAGAGCAGGGCTGCTCAGGGGGTTGGGGCCCCGCCCCCTGTCACACACAGAGCCACAGGGCAATCAGGGGGTTTGGGCGCTGCCCCTGTCACGCTGATCCCGGTGCCAGGAGGCATATTACCTTTTTACTATATAGGGTAGAGGCCTGGTGCATGGGTGGGGTCGGCTGGTTTGCCCTGAAGGGTGTCCTGGATCAGGGTGGGGGTCCCCACTGGGGTGCCTGGCCAGTCTGGGTGAGGGGCTGAGGGCTGTTTTCAGGCTGGGAGTGACTGAAGTTCCCAACCGCTCCTTTTTTTCTTTTTTCTTTTTTATTCTGAGCCAGCTTTACCTTGAGGCTTGGCTCCAGCTCTTAGGCCTCGGCGGCTGAAAGTAGGTTTCTGGCCTTTGCTTACAATGTTGCGAATCTGCTGGCTGAAGTCTGGTGGTATTTGTTACAATGTTTCTTAAACTGCCCGCTCAGAGGCCTGCAGCCGCAGGCGGGGAATGTTGGTTTCCTCCAACGATCCTCCGTCACTGAGGCAAGCAAGCCTCATGTTAGTTTCAAGCTGCCTAGCTGCCGGCCGCCATCTTGGCTGACAGTTAATTTGCATATCTCGCTGATTAGCCAATGAAAAGGGTAGCGGTCGTACGCCAATTACCATGTTTCTCTTTTATTAGTGTAGATAGCCAAGATATGGAAGCAGGCTAAGATGAATGGATAAAGTGGAAATACTGCATATATACAATGGAATATGACTCAGTCATAAAAAAGAATGAAATCTTGCCATCTGCAACAATATGGCTGTATCTATAGGATATTGTGCTAAGTGAAATAAGTCAGACAGAGGAAGACAAATGCCATATGATTTCACTCAGACTTAGAATCTAAAGAGAAAAATAAATGAACAAGCAGAACAGAAAGACTCATAGACAGAACATTTTGATGGTTGTCTGATGGGAGAGGGCTGGGGAAATGAATGGAAAAGGTGAAGGGATTAAGAAGTACAAATTGGCAGTTAAAGAATAGTCATGGGGATGTAAAGTACAACATAGGGAATACAGTCAATAATATTGTAATAACTATGTATGGTGTTAGACAGGTACTAGATTAATTGTGGTAATCACTTAGTAAGTTATATAATGTCTAATTACTGGCATATACACTTGAAACTAATATAATGCATGTCTACTGTAACTGAAAAATAAAAACATTATTTAAAGTAAAAAAAATAATCATTCCTCAATGATAAAAAGTCTCAAATGTGAAATGTTATTTATTTCAGTGCATCTAGCACTTAGGATAACACAGAGTATACATAATTCAACACAAATTTTTTGACTGAATCAATGAATGATTAGCAAAAGCAACATAAAATCCGAAATAAATAAATCCAACAACCCATTTAGCCTAGTATCTCTGGCTATCCCACCCCAGTGAAACAGGCTCTACACAATTCCCTTCAGAATAAGTGCTAAAATTGACCTAAATAGCTCTACACACTACCTGAGAAGAGTAACAAGAGTTAAGTGGACTAGGTAAAAAAGTAGCTGCTTATTATCCCCTAGACCAGTGATGGCGAACCTATGACACATGCGTGTCAGAGGTGACACGCAAACTCATTGGTTGATTTTTCTTTGTTACATGGCATTTAAGTATATAAAATAAATATCAAAAATATAAGTCTTGCCGAAGCCGGTTTGGCTCAGTGGATGGAGCGTTGGCCTGTGGACTGAGGGGTCCCAGGTTCGATTCCGGTCAAGGGCATGTACCTGGGTTGCGGGCATATCCCCAGTAGGAGATGTGCAGGAGGCGGCTGATCGATGTTTCTCTCTCATCGATGTTTCTGACTCTATATCCTTCTCCCTTCCTCTCTGTGGAAAATCAATAAAATACATTAAAAAAAATTTAAAAAATATAACTCTTTGTTTTACTATGGTTGCAAATATCCGAAAATTTCTATATGTGGCACGGGACCAGAGTTAAGTTAGGGATTTTCAAAATGCTGACACGCCGAGCTCAAAAGGTTCGCCATCACTGCCCTAGACTCAGGTCTTTGAAAGAATAGAATATACTAAACAAGTGAAATTGTAATAGCGAGAAAGTTAAGAGTATTAGGTAAAGCTCAGGGAGGACTGACCCAAACAGATTGTTTAGAAAGGCATTCTGGGCAAAAAGTGGCAATATTGAAGCCTAAAAGTAGAAAGGTAAAATCTACCCAACAACTTTCTCAAGACATACCAATATTTACAATGGAGCAGGAACAACCTTTTTTCTTTCAAGAAAAAAGAGAAATTAAGGTTTAAAAAATTCTTCTATCAGTCAGGGGCAAAGCAGATGTACAGTCCTTAGTTCATCCTAGCTTGATGCCTGTGTCGGTGGCCAGAGCTGTTTCATGCCTGAGGCACATTAAAAAAAAAAAAAGATTTAAAAAATTGCTCCTGGCATAGAAAAAAATGTGCCACAAAATTCAATTATAGTAATAAATAAAAATCTCCTGACATACTATATTCTAGAATAACATGATGAAATAAGAAAAAAGTTTTACCTTCCCCCTACGTCCATTTCCTCCATCCTGATCTTCCCATTGCCAGTCTACTCCTCGTACCACTCTGGCACCTGCAAAGATCCCTCTGGCTGTAATCTTCTTAGATTTTCTGCGAGATTCTAATAGAACCCTGAAAATAAAATGATTTCAAACTTGTTTAAAAATAGGTAACATTATTTTTTAACAACAGTATATAAAAGGCTATTTTGAAAATATAAAAGGTTTTTTTAAATAGTAATGAAATCCACATATGAACCCAATCTAACCACTTCAAAGTATCACTATACTCTTCACTGCTTTAGAGTGCCGGGAGCCGGTCCATCCTTGCTGTTTCAAGGGACCTGGCATATATGGCATACTGTTCTTAATATGTTTGCTCACCTTCTTGGCACTATGTGTTTTAACCAAGGTCTCCTCTCTGAGAAAGGTTGTTTCCCCAGGTAGGGATTTTCCCCTGAAGTTAGGGAGGGAATAAAACCCTTCAACTAAGTGCCAGGCGGGTAATTAATCACTTTAACTACGAACAATCATGCTTAAGCTACATAATCTTTACTCCCTGGAATGGAGATAAGAAACGCCCTAACCTTTGGAATAGAGATTGATAGGATTGGAATCAACTGGTATAAATACAGATGTAAGAAGACAGAACTCAGAACACAGAACTCAGAAGGCAGAACCTACACACAGAAGACAGAAGACAGAACCTACACAGAACCTAGAGACAGAAGAACTTCGCTGGAGAGAACATGGCAAAAGATCCTGGACTGAACCTGACTACAGAAATTGGCAAGAGAACCTGACTAGAACCTGGTGACTGAACCTGGCTGGAGAACCTAGCGAGGGAACATGGCTACAGAACCTGGCTGGAGAACCTAGCGAGGGAACATGGCTACAGAACCTGGCTGGAGAACCTGGACAGACCCTGGCAGGAGATCCTAAGCAGAACCTCTCTGGAGATCCAGACCAGAACTTGGCTGGAGATCCTGGCTAGCCTGCTGATCAACTGAACACTGTCTCCGTGTCATTCCTTCTTCACCGACTCCGTCCACGCCTTTGGGGACCCCTGGACCCGCTGGGGTTGGACCCCGGCATTAGAGATAGCAAACTAAATCAAATACAACTGTTAGGCAAATAATATAAACGAGTTCCTAAGAAAAACAGCGCCACAGAAATGAAAAATGGCAAGTGGCACTTGACCTCAGGCTTATTTAGGAAGACAACAGGGAGTGGTAAGGACTTTAGTGAACTCAAGCACAGATTTGTCTACAGGGTACAGGTGCTTCCTGTGCTTCAGCAAACTCCTGCCACGAACAAACGTAGGCTCGGTGCTAGTTTTCTGGGGGAGTGTGCACATAAGTGTGAGAGTGTGTGTGAATGTGTGCATGTTTTAAGAATTCATAAACTTAGATTTTTGTGTGAAATCACCCAATTTCAAAAGGTTAACAATTGTTCAAAATTTTGGAACATGGTATATGTCAAGTAAAATACATCCGTGGCCTAGATTTGACCTGCATTAAACTCCCTCCAAAGTTCTGCATAACTACAGAAGACTGTGGAACTTGAAAAAGATTCTAAACTCAATTATCTGGACCAGGTGGGTTTTCCGAGCATCTACCCATACCCATATTCTGCATCCTTCTCATTCATAAAACCAAAAAGATTTGGGGTTTATTTCCTTTTGATTTTCTGCTTTCATCTCATTATTCTATTCATTTTTTGAATATCTTTATTATACTCTAATTTTTAAAAATTGTAAACAAAAGACAAAAATAAATAACTTGTTCCAAATTACTGAGTTAATAAATGGCAGGACCATGATTTGAACTGAGAAACCAGGTCACATAAATCCATTTTTCTATTATTTCTGCTGCTTCCCTATGACTGGCTAGATTCGTGCTACTATGCATTATCCATATCAACATAAGACTAAATTACCTGAAACTCTATGCCCATTCACAATTAACACTCCTCTCTCTTACTCCTAAGACAGTACATACCCCTACATAGAGTATAAAACATCACATGATAATCACTGTTGATCAAATAATCCCTTAACATGAAAACTCTTTCATGTACTTTACCTTCAAATTTACACAAGCATAGTAGCTGCCTCAAAGTCTTAATAAATGCCTCTTGATTGAATCAATGAGCCCTAGAGGTAGCAATTAACAGAATAGAAGGTATAGCAAGAAGAAACTAATCAGCCCTAGACGGGTAGCTCAGTTGGTTAGCGTAGCATCCAAGGTTGGGGGTTCAATCCCCTGTTAGGGCACATATAAGAATCAACCAGCCCTAACTGGTTTGGCTCAGTGGATGGAGCGTCAGCCTGCGGACTGGGGGGGCCCAGGTTCGGTTCCGGTCGGGGGCATGTACCTTGGTTGCGGGCACATCCCCAGTGCGAGACATGCGGGAGGCGGCTGATCGATGTTTCTCTCTCATCGATGTTTCTGACTCTCTATCCCTTTCCCTTCCTCTCTGTGAAAATCAATAAAATATATTTTAAAAAAAAGATTTAAAAAAAAAAGAATCAACCAATGAATGCATAAATAATAGGAACAACAAATCAATGTTCTCTAAAAATCAATCAACAAAATAATAATAATAGCCGAAACCGGTTTGGCTCAGTGGATAGAGCGTCGGCCTGCGGACTGAAGGGTCCCAGGTTCGATTCCGGTCAAGGGCATGTACCTCGGTTGCGGGCACATCCCAGTAGGAGGTGTGCAGGAGGCAGCTGATCGATGTTTCTCGCTCATCGATGTTTCTAGCTCTCTATCCCTCTCCCTTCCTCTCTGTAAAAAATCAATAAAATATATAAAAAATAATAATAATAATAATAATAATAAAACACTTCAGCTTGTTAATAAAAAAGTAAAGAAGAACATAATCAGTCTCTCTTGGGCTACCCTTGCATTTCCAAATACTGAGTAGTGCCAGGTCTCTAACTGAGAGAAAGAATAGCCTAGATTATCTTGGAAAAACACTTAGAGCTTCGTCTTCACAGAGGCAAGCCTGGTACACTTCTAGCCTGCTATCTGCTACCTCCTGACTAAACTAGCTCTTAGAAGCTTTCCTAATCCTATTTTTAAGGCTGAGTAGTATAAAATTTTAATACAAACAAAAAATTGCAACTGAAGAAAAAACTATTTCGCATACCGCTCACTTCCAGGTGTAGTAATTCTATAGAAGCGATGCCTTAAGTGATGCTTATCTCCATGATAACAAACTGTGCACAAATCATAATTTGTACACTCTGCACACTTCCATCGAATGCCAATGATTGGTTGCTGGCGGCAGGTATCACACATGGTCCCATCATGCTTAATGCCTATTAAAACAAGGATACATCCTTACATTAATTACAGGTATTATTTACTTGAAGATTACTTCTTAAGAGGAAAAATAAGAACACATCATTTTACCAAGTATTTCAAGAAAGTAGGAAACAATATTTCAAATGTACCATATATAGTTTCAAGATAACATATTACAAATATTTTAATCAGCACAAATTATAGGCTAAATAGCTTCTATCCCTTCTTTTTTCCATTAGTAAAAACATTTGTCAGTAGCACTTCCCTTGATATCATTCACAAACTGAAACTTAGATTCAGTCCAGAGAAAGAAAGAAGAATCTGTTATCCCCAAGGAGATGTTTCAGACTTCAACACTCAGAAATCTTTTGAGAAATTTAAACATATCCTCTAGGTAAATAATTACTCCAAAAGAAAAGACAATTTTATCCTCAAGATATCATAGAAACAAACTATCAACTTACTTAAGAATTTTTATCTAGGTATTGACTTTTCCCCCACAAACAATAAACTTCAGAAAATGATTAGCAAGCAAGTTTCCCAGTTTAAAGGATAACAATATACTCTAGTTGAGTTTGTTGTGTTTTTTTTCCTTAAGGAATAAGGAGTAATAGAAAATGTTCACTAAAAATGTTCACATGCATGGATGAGATAGACAATAGAATAAAAGGTACCACTAAAAAGTAATGAAAATAACTGACATTTTAGAGTAATAGAATTGGGAATAATGTTCTATTATTCTTACTAGAGGCCCAGTGCACTGGTGAGGTCCCTTGGCCTGGCCTGCGCCTTCTCGCAATCAGGGACCCCTCGGGGGATGTCGGTCGGACTGCCAGTTTCGGCCCGATCCCCACAGGCCAGGCCGAGGGACCCCACCGGTGCACGAATCCATGCACCAGACCTCTACTATGCATATAAGATCTTTGGTTAATCTCTTCCCGCCCTTCCCCTTTCTCCCTTCCCTCTGAGATTCATCAGTCTGTTCCATGTTTCCATGTCTGTGCATTGAGCGTCTGCCCCTGGTGGTCAGTGCATGCCATAGCTACCGGTTGAACAGTCGCTTAGGTGACTTTTTTTTTAAAGTTGAAGTTTTAAGATTCTTTATTACATTAACTTTAATAATCTTAGTAAATGAATATAAGCTAGTTAGTAATCTGGTTTGGTCACTGAAAAAAAATGAAACATTTTTGAAACCTCACCTAACTGTGTAGTATGCAGACTAGAACTAGTTATGCTTTCATCTCTTTAAGAAAGCAGTATGGCCAAAACCGGTTTGGCTCAGTGGATGGAGCGTCAGCCTGCGGACTGAAGGGTCCCGGGTTCGATTCCGGTCAAGGGCATGTACCTTGGTTGCAGGCATATCCCTGGTGGGGGATGTGCAGGAGGCAGCTGATCGATGTTTCTCTCTCATCGATGTTTCTAGCTCTCTATCTCTCTCCCTTCCTCTCTGTAAAAAATCAATAAAATATATTTAAAAAAAAAAAAAGAAGAAAGCAGTATGATTATAAGAACCTTCACTGCTGCTCTATGGCCTCTAAACTACGGAGGAGAGATAAAATCAAGCTTCTGAGGAAATCCCAAGGCAACTAACTGCAGTCAAACAATGTCTGGAAAGCTGCAGGTAGAAATGCATTACATGAAAGCTCAAATTTGCTTCAAAACCTGGGCTACTTAAGTCTAAAATTAAATTCACATTTTCTTACAAGGAAATTAGAAATATTTAAGAAACTATTAACTCTATTTTGATTCCCAACATTTATTTATAACCTTCTCAGAAAATTTTGTATTAGGCGTAGCTGTTTTGTTTGCTATTCTGTTACTTATGAAGTTATAACCTACTTCAATTATTCAAAAATGAGAGTAGCATTTGTGTATACAGTCACAGTTTAACCAAAAGGTAGATAACTTGAATTTCTAATTGGGAATAAAGAAAGGTGTTAAATGTTTTAAAAATGTGCAATAATATAAACAATAGTTTGATAACATCTAGCATTAATGCAATATAAAGATTAACTGTTTTAAACCAAACTCAACAGACTGACTTTTAAAGAACACAGCTATCTTAATTCATTAAAGTGTGTTTCACAGCTACTATGATGTGTCTGACACTGATTCCAAACATATCCAGCAATTCGCAAGGTTTCCCACTTCAGGGACTCCTGACACTGCCAGCTGATGAACAAGGATGTCAGGCTCCCCAGACACAGCGGCACATACTGCTTCTCCAATGCCACCTTCCAGGTAGTGATTTTCCACTGTGATAACCCGACCGCCTGTAGCTTTTGCACTGGAGATGATGGTGGCAGCATCCAGGGGTTTAATGGTAAATGGGTCAATGACACGGATGGAAATATCTATAATAATAAAAGCATAATATGCTAATTAGACCAGACGTCTTTCCAGATGTCATTCCGGATGACCTTCTGGATGAAGCCGCAGCAGTGGGGGCCAAGGCAGAGGCAGCCGCCGCCACGGTGGGGCCAAGCCCCATGCACAAATTTTGTGCATCGGGCCTCTAGTATATAGATAAGCAAGGGCTGTGCTGTCTGTGTAACAGTGACACACACCTGGATTCCAATTCTGGTTCTCTATCAGCTATTTGGGGCCCTTGAAAAATTTATTTCAACTGAAATATTTATATATAAAAAAATATTATTTTTCAAAATAATTGGGAGGGGGCAGAGGGGATTGCTCAAGTTGAAGTTGGGCAACATGTAACATGGAGGTTCATTATATTTTTATATTTTTGTAAGTTTAGAAATTTTCCATAATTAAATAAAAGAAAGAAGTTATTTTAGTTCCCTTTGGAGGAAGCAATATGTTCTTTAAAGGTAAAAGATATTCTAGGAATCTAATAAGAATGTGCTATATATGCAAGAACTAGAGTACAAAAGCACTAAACTCTACAAAAACATTGTACTATTGCTATTTCCTGATAAGAAAACAAAACTCTATATAATTAATTTTCTATATATAGATTTAAAGTCCCTATGATTAAGGTAACCAGATTCTAAATAAAGAGTCAAACATAAGGATAAATCTGTGTCAGATAAATCTGTGGAGGTAGTTAAGAATAAAATGAGGGTCAGGGAGGAATGAACACTAGAAGGAAATTGGAATACCTAGTGAAGTTCAAAAAGCATGACATAAACCAAATGTTTAGTGAGCAATCCTTCTGCAGTCTCCTTCTATACAAACACTTGATTGTAGGAACAGAGAAGATGGAGGACATCCGTTCCTACTGATTCACTCAGTAATTATTTCCTTACTGCCACTGTAGCCAAGCCCTCTATTGCTTTCAAATACCACTCTTGCTGTAGTATGAAGAAAAGAAAGGAAGAAACTAAAACTGGCTAGAGAAAGGCAGTCAAGTCATAAGAAGTTTATACAGTAGTTTAGGCAAGATAATGATAGTTTAAGTCAGGGTGATAATACAGCAAGTGGAAAGAAATAGTCAAGAGAGATTTAGGACTTCGTGTTATGGGTTACAAAACAAGAGATGTAGTAGGTAATAAACAAAAAAGTACAAATGAAATCATTCAAGAGAAAATAGAAATGTCAGAGATATTTAAAAACAGTTCCCTTTAAAACAGAAAGGGGAAGAACGAAATAAGCACATGCTAATTTTAAAAAATGCAAGCTCCACTGATAGAAATGCATCTAAAAAACTAAATAAAAAAAATCAGAAGAGTGTCATAGAAATGGTGGATGAGTAGACTTTCAAAGGAAAAAAGAAGAAATTTCAGAAAAACACAAAATATGTTCAATGAACCAGGAGAAGCTTTATTTGTTTGACAGAAATATGAAATACAGTCAGAGACTTAAAGATAAATTTTAGTCATGCTGGGAAATAACAACATAAAATTATTTCTACCCTGAATATTTAAACTGTTGCATTAAGTGGTAAAACAAGGGTATGTGACTTAAGACTAGTTCTATAATGTACTAGCTAGGTAATGTTCAATATTAGTTTAAACTACTCTGGGATCAATATTCTCATCTATAAATTAAGAAAATACTTCCTTTCATATGCAATGGACTGAATGTGTTCCCCAAAAATTCATATGTTGAAGCCCTACCCCGCAGTGGATGTTTGGAGGTGAGGCCTTTGGAAGGTAAATGAGGTAATGAGGGTAAGCCCCTACGACGGGGGTTAGTGCCCTCATAAGAAGAGAAAGAGACAACAGGGGTCTCTCTCTATCTGCCACAGGACGCCACACTAAGAAGGCAGCTATCTGCAAGCGAGGAAGAGAGTTGTCACCAGGGAACCAACACCTTGATCTTGCCAACACCTTGATCTTGAACTTCCAACTATGAAAAATAAATTCCTGTAGTTTAAACCACCCAGTCAATGATAGTTTGTTATGGCAGCTCAAGCAGACTATGACAACATAGAAAGGGACATTGTGAAGCTAAAGTGATATAATTCAGGTAAATACATTTTGAAAGGCTTTAAAGCAAAATATAAAGAACTATACTGAACTTAATTTATAAAGAATTATACAGCCCTAACCAGTATGGCTCAGTGGATAGAGCGTCGGCCTGTGGAGTCAGGGGTCCCAGGTTCGATTCCAGTCAAGGGCATGTACCTTGGTTGCGGGCACATACCCGGTGGGGGTTGTGCAGGAGGCAGCTGAATTGATGGTTCTCTCTCATCGATGTTTCTAGCTCTCTATCCCTCTCCTCTCCTCTCTGTAAAAAATCAATAAAATATATATTTTTTTTTTAATATATTTTATTGATTTTTTACAGAGAGGAAGGGAGAGGGATAGAGAGCTAGAAACATCGATGAGAGAGAACCATCGATCAGCTGCCTCCTGCACATCCCCCACCGGGGATATGCCTGCAACCAAGGTACATGCCCTTTACCGGAATCGAACCCGGGACCCTTCAGTCCGCAGGCCGACGCTCCATCCACTGAGCCAAACCGGTTTTGGCAATAAAATATATTTTTTTAAAAAAAAAGAATTATACAGTACAGTGGGGCCTTGACTAACGAGTTTAATTCGTTCAG